ACCACCACCACCACCACCGTCACCCCCAATAGCAACAACAACCGCAATAACGATTTAAAAAAAAAAAGAAAAAGTTTCTTAGGTGATTTGATATTAGGAATTTTAAGAATTTGTCCCTCACACACACTCACACACTTGCACACACGCACACACACACACACACACACACTCACACATGGTTCTTTTTCAAGTGGGTTATTAGTATTTAAATATATATATATCTTGTGGGAAACAGACGTAAAGTTTTTTTTTTTTTTTTTTTTTTTATTACTAGACCACCCATTTAAAAAATTTTTAATAAATATAAAACAATAATAATAATAATAAAAAGAAAAGGAATAAATAACAATCGATCAATAATTTTATTTATTTATTTATTTATTTATTTTAAGCAAAAAAAAATCAATTTTTTCCTTTTATTCGATACATCGAATCGATGGAAACGTTTTAATTATCATCATTATTATTCAGTTTTTCCCTTTTTTCTTCCACCCCGAAAAGAAGAGAAAGATCAAAAAAAATATTAATAATAATAAAATTGGTTTTTTTACGATGACGTTTAATAGTTGTCGCGAGAGTTAATAATGAGAGAGAAAGAGAGAGAAAGAGAGAGAGAGAGAGAGTGAGAGAGTGAGAGAGGAAGTCATTACCTTGTCGTTCTTAAATAAATAAACAAACATTTTTTTTTGGGGGGGGGGGTGGTGTGCATAAAATATAATATTTAAAACTTTAGAGAGTGTCAATTCTGTCAAAATATAATGTCGTCACACTCGACATATATTATTATTATTATTAAACAAACATGGCGAATTCGAAGAAGAGAAAAAACAAGAGGGTAGAATGAGATAGGATAGGATAGTTTTATCGATAGGATATAATGAAATCGGATCAAGGGGATGATGAATCCGGTAAGTGGTGATGGAAAGGGAGGGTGGGGAGGCGTCGGGAGGGGAGGGGTGTGTAAATTAAAAATCCTTAAGGTAGAAAACAGGACAAGGAACCCACACACACACGCATAAATCATTTCTTTAAGTGGTCGTTTTATTATTTTAAAAAAATAAATTAATAAGAAAATTTATTTACATAAAATTTATTTACAATTATTATTATTATCATTATCATTATCATTATCATCATTATCATGAGGTTTATCTCGTCGTGTAGTCGTGATAACCCTGATTCGTATTAGTTCTCGTATAAAATTGATAATTAGAATATGGACCAACGTTTGAACTCGTGTGATGAATGTGATGATGATGATGATGATAAATAGGACCGTAATTACATATATCTCCCGTGTAAGGGGATCCAAGTGTCGAATTCGAATTAATATTCGATAAAACCGGAAGTCCGGTATTATTACCTAAAAACCGTTAACGACGATTAAACGTTTACGTTAAAATAAAATTCCCGACGTTTTTAAAAAATTAATAAAAGGTTAATCACCTGTAAAATTTCTTGAATCCGTTAGAGTATTATTATTATGACCCGGAAGTGACGTAATTGAAGACGTCGTAGTCGTTGTGACGGATTCTAAACCGTTGACGGTTGATGACGTATTTATAAGTGAAACTAATGGTTGTTGAGTAGTAGTACGAGATGGTATTCCTGTTGAAGAATGTTCTGGACTCGATAAGGATTCATCATCTGTCCCGGAAAATTTTTGATTACGTCACGTTTTTTAAAAAAAATTTTTAGTTTGTTGTGACATATCTTAAAAACAATTCATCAAAGTCTTTTTAAAATCTGTCACCTGATTAATTAATTACTCTTTAAACGTAAAAAAAAAAATTTTTTTTTTATTTCTTCTGGTGCGGTCTCAAACATAATAATAATAATAATAATAATGTTTTAAAAAAAACATATGGCCACTTGACGCGACAGTTATAACCGAAGAAATAAACATTTTTTTTTTTTTTTTTTTTTGTAAATTTTTGTAAATTACCAGACGACGATGGGAGAAGGAAAAGTGTCACGTTTGTCATTTAAAATTTTGTCGTTTCGTGACACGCACACACACACACACACGCAAAACAATTATTATTATTATTATTATTACCTTTGGTGTTGGATCTTGTCGTCGGTGTTTTCCTTTGATTACTACTATTCCCACCACCTATTTGAATGTGATTCATAACATCCGTACCACAATCATCCGGATCGCAATCTCTAAATCCTTTTGCAAATGGATTACTTGCTATTTTTAATTGCGTGATCTGAAAATTTTTTAACGGGGGGGGGGAGGGGTAGGGGTTGGATAACATAAATAAATGAAATACAAATTTTTCGGGTAAAAATAAATAAATAAGTCACCCTCACCCTGTGATTTTGATATGCCGTAACGGCTGTAAATCTCGTTTCTTGAAAAATAAACGTTTTAAAATTTTCCGTATTGTTACCGTTGACTTCCGCTTTTCCGGGTATGTATAAAACGTGAAATCTCGGTTGGTAACGATGCATCGAATTTAATATTATCTAATTATAATAAATAAATTACGTAATAATTAATAATTTTTATTTTTTTATATGTGTGGCAAAAAAACAACAACAACAACTCACGTGACCGTTATCATCGAGTTGATTATTTGTCAATTTGAGTTTATCGAATGAAATAACTTGTTTCATCCATTGGGAACCCGTGGCGGGAGAATCGGGATGTACGTGAATTCTCGGTGGTGATATTGGATCCGCTTTTCCGGCTACGACCCAACTCGAACTGTGAAATGCGTACCTGTATCTCTTATCATCGACAGGTACGAAATCCATCATTAGCATGTAATCTGATAATGGATCGAGTCCGTAGAGTCTTGCTTGGAATGTTGGAAACATGCGTCTGCGTTCAAAGGTAATTTACCATCATTATTATTAGAATGGGGTGGTGGTGGTGATGGTGGGTGAGAGGGGTGTAAAGGGGATGAGGGGGAGATAAAAAAAAAAAATTAAAATATCAATCCGACCTGCCTGCTTTCGTAACAATCATTTCGGTACCCAATTCGTTAAATTCATCCCAAAGTGGTTTCATTTCCAAAATGGCGCCGCAACTCACGAGTTTCGGATGTAGTGGTAAATTTATTTGTTTTTTATTACCGGAAGTTTGGATTTTACCACCGGTTACGTCATCATCATCATCTGATTTTTTTTTCGTACCGTTATTTTCATGAGTATTATTGTTATCTTGTTGTGTTATTCTCGTTGTTGTTCTTCCAGCCGTCAACAAGCAAGCTATTTTTAAATAAAAAAAAAATCAATCAATCAATCAATCAAGAATTTTTTTTTTCGTTTAAATATTTCAAGGGAGTGTTATGTGATTACATAAAAAAAAAAAAAAAAAAAAAAAAAAAACATAAGAAAGTGACAAATACAACTATTTGTACGAGACAAAATATTAGGCAAATGTCCAAAATGAAATTTTTTTTTTTTTTATGTCCTTTCGGTTATTTTTCTCATTCCTGAATTTGCGTCAAAAAAATTATTATTATTATTATTATTATTTCATCCCGAAAAAAAAACGAAAAAATTCCAGCTGCATGTATTATTATTATTATTATTATTATTATTATTACCCGTTAATAATTTTTTTAAAGAAATTAAATTTCACGGTTTAAATTTTTTTTTTTTTTTTTTTTAAAGTAATAAAAAAAAAATACATCTTTTGTTTTTTTTTTTTTTTTCGTTTTTACGACTTTAAGAATAAACCCCCGATAATAAAGACAGGGCCCCACCCCCGCTACCCCCCTTAAAAAGTCGGGAAGGGAGGGGAGACTTTTTAAATATTTTCTTAATTATTTTATGCGTTAAATTTTCATTTAAAAAAAAATTTTTTTTTCTCTTCTCGAAACCGTACATAATTCTAATTATTATTATTATTATTACTACTATTATTATTATTATTATTATTATTATTATTATTACTATTATTATTATTATTATTATTATTATTATTATTATTATTACATTTTTTAAAAGTCTAAAGAAAGAAAAAGAAAGAAAAAAATGTCGACGCATAAAATTCCATTTTAAATAATAAAAAAAAATTATTATGAAAGAATTAATTAATTAATAAGTTTAAGTAATTAATAAGTAAATAGTTGGGACATTATTAAATAGATTAAATATAGTTAATAATAATGATAATGATTGTTACCTTCCATTTGTTTCATCGGTGTCGAATACATTTGTGACGTAAAATGTTCGTTCCAGTCGTAACATGAAGAATCGGCCGGTGATGAACCGGAAGAAGTTGGATAATGATGCATTTTCATTTCATGAAACCTTTTTTTCGGAAAAAAAAAGAAAATTTTGAAAACGGTACCTTTATTTATTTATTTAAACAAATTTTTATATTATCCACATAAATAATAA